AGCACGACCACACCCCAACACGACCATACACCAGCACGACCACACCCCAGCACGACCACACCCCAGCACGAACTAACGCAACAGCACGACCCACCAGGCCCGCACGACCCACGCTCAGCACGGCCAACCCCAGCACGACACACCCCAGCACGACCACAACCCCAGCACGACCCCACCCCAGCACGACCCCAACCCCAGCACAGCACGACCACACCCAGCACGACCGATCGATAAATCAACAGGGTGCGGACCAACCCAGCACCGACAACACGCCAGCACGACCCCACCCAGCCAACGACCCAACCCCAGCCGACACGACCCAGCAGAAACACACCCGCACGACCACAACCAGCACGACCACACCAGCACGAACCCCCCCCAAGCATCGACCCCACCATAGCACGACCATACCCCAGCACGACCACACCCCAGCACGACCAGACCCCAGCACGACCCCACCCCAGCACGACCCCACCCCAGCACGACCATACCCCAGCACGACCAAACCCCAGCACGACCCGACCCCAGCACGACCCTACCCCAGCAAGACCACACCCCAGCACGACCACACCCCAGCACGACCTCACCACAGCACGACCACACACCAGCACGACCACGCCCCAGCACGACCACGCCCCAGCACGACCACGCCCCAGCACGACCACCCCCCAGCACGACCACCCCCCCAGCACGACCACGCCCCAGCACGACTACCCCCCAGCACGACCACACCCCAGCACGACCACTCCCCAGCACGACCACACCGCCGTGGTTGAGTGGTTGCCTGTCGTCGTGGAATGTTTCGTGGGGTGTCTCGTGGAATGTTTCGCGGGGTGTCTCCTGGAATGTTTCGTGAGGTGTCTCGCGGTATGTTTCGTGAGGTGTCTCGTGGGATGTTTCGTGAGGTGTCTCGTGGGATGTTTCGTGAGGTGTTGCCCCGTTGGGTATCGTGAAAACGTGCCCATGCTCCACATGTCTATATCCCTTTCCGGGTTCGTGGGTCCATCATGTTTGTACTATGTGTTTTGAACACTCGATCTTGATCCCCGTCCGAAGCCGAAGGTTTTTGAAGGATTTCGGCATGCGCGCGCGACGACGCGCGCGTGCGTACTGCGCGTCATTTTTTCCCGGAAAGGGCGTCGGTCCAGGGTTCTCTTTTAGTATGTAAACATAGTCCCCCGTGCCCAACTTGAAGGAGGCCGGCGAAATTATTTTGCGATAAATATCGAGGTCGAAGGAGGCCGGCGAAATTATTTTTGAGGATGTCTCGAGCGAGACGCTTGTTTTTCAGAATTTGTTGAGGATGTCTCGAGCGAGACACTGGTTTTGCAGAGTTGGGGATGTCTCGAGCGAAACGCTTGGTTTCAGAATTTGTTGAGGATGTCTCGAGCGACACGCTGGTTTTGCAGAGCCGACCGCGACACGGAAAAGCGCCCCTCGCGCAGGAATTCCAAGGATGTCTCGACTAATTCGTTTGTTTTTGTACGATTTCCTGGAATTTTGGCAGGATGTCTCGAGCGAAATGCACGACCCCACCCTAGCACGACCATACCAGCACGACCACACCCCAGCACGACCAGACCCCAGCACGACCCCACCCAGCACGACCCCACCCCAGCACGACCATACCCCAGCACGACCACACCCCAGCACGACCCGACCCCAGCCACGACCTTACACCACAAATACACATGAAGAACGCCAGCACGACCTCACACCCCCAGCACGACACACCCTAGCACGACCCACAGCACCCAGCACGACCACGCCCCAGCACGACCAACTCAGCAACACCACCCCCCCAGCACGACCACCCCCCAGCACGACCACCCGCCCACACGACCACCCCCCAGCACGACCACACCCCCAGCACGACCACTCCCCAGCACGACCACACCCAAGCACGACCACACCCCATCACGCCACACCCAGTCGCACCCGTGAATGGTTTTCGTTCGTGGCGTGTCTGGTTGAGTGGGTGCCTGTTCGTGGGGTGTCTCGTGGAATGTTTCACGGGTGTCTCGTGGAATGTTTCGTGAGGTGTCTCGTGGAATGTTTCGTGAGGTGTCTCGTGGGATGTTTCGCGGGGTGTCTCGTGGGATGTTTCGTGAGATGTCGCCCAGTTGGGTATCGTGAAAACGTGACCATGCTGCACATGTCTTTATCCCTTTCCGGGTTCGTGGGTCCATCATGTTGCAAGGGAAGTCTGGAAACTTCTGATTTTTGATAAACGAGTGCGCGCGCATAGTGTTTGTTGCAGGGGGTGGCGGGGGCGGTCGATACCGGCTGGCCTGGGATGGTATGAGTTCGTAAAGGACAATGAGCGAAGGGTCATGATCATACATGAAAGTCCAATCGTCACGCGTGGCGGATAACCCCGGGGGGGGGGTGATGGGGGTAGAATCCAATTTGCTTTAAGAGAGGAAGATATACAAAGGGTTAGTGGCTTCGGGGACGCAACCATCGCGTAATTTACCAGGGTTTATGTCTTCGGGGGCGCAGGCATTGCAGACTTTACCCGGGTGTATGGCCTCGGGGACGCGAATATCGCATAATTTAATTGGGGTCTATGGCCGCGAAGCCTCGAATATAGTGTAATGTGAAAGGGTTTGTTGCCGCGGGGACGCAAATACGGTGTCATTTACGTGGGTTTTTGGCCCTGGGGATGCGAAGACTGGTTAAGTTTCGAAAGTTCGTGATTCCGGGGGCCCGAATATTCCGTAATCTACATTGGTTCATGGTCTCGGGGGCGCGACTATGGTTTACTTAAATAAGTTTTCTGGCTTCGGGGACGCGCATATTGTGTTGTATAATTTTCAAGGAATTATGGCTTCGGGGACGCGACTACGCTGCAATTTCGAAGGTTTATGGCCTCGTCGACGCGAATATGGTGTAATTTACTAAGGATTGTGGCCTCGGGGACATGAATATCATGTATTCTGACGTTTCCCGTGCCCCCACAGGGATTCAGACAACACGATTTGGGCGTGGTGAAACAGCTGGTTTGGGATTCTCCCCCCCTTCGCGCGTTCAGTATCAATTAACAGTGAGGAAGCAGAAAGCAGGACTGTAACAGTGGAGACTGGAAAGTGCAACTGGAACAGGAGGCTGCAATCCTCACCCTCGCAGCCTGGTGGCCCCGCAGGGGGGCCCTCGACTGTTGGACGCCCCCCTCTTGGCCGCCCCCCGATCTTCGGGGGGGCAGCATTCGGTGCCCTGCCGGCACCGGAGGGAACTCCGGGGCGGCAGGCTGTCCTCGGGGAAGGGCTCAGAATTCTCTCGCGCCCCGCCGAGCAGGGCCGCGTCGTCGGACTGCTGAGCCCCGATCCTGCCCGGGCCCGCGCGGGGGCCGGGAACGTGGCGCGCACCGCCAGCGGGGGCGGCCCGAAGATGGTTGGGTGCCGAGGGGGGGGGGTCGAGATTGGTAGCCCCATCCAGTGCGTCTGGGAGTGTCGGGCGCCATTCCCCAGGAGCCGGAGGCGCAGTGGAGAAACAAAAATAGACACAACGAATGCAACCCTGGCCCCTCGGACGCGTACCCATGTCCACCGCGCCTCGGATTTGGGCGTCCCTTCCCAGCGAGTCCAGGACGCAGTGGGCCCTGGCCCTGGCCCTGTCTTTCTCTGTGGGTGCGTCTCCTGGCACTCCGTCGGGCCGCGTACGTGCCCGGGTCGTTATTTGCGAGCCCCCCTCTCGGACTCTCCCTCAGTCAGTGGACGGGCCCTCGCAAAGTGTCGACATGGCCCATGGCCTTCCAGGGCCCTTGCATCCTGATCCTGCGTCCTTGCTCTACAGCTTGACTGCAGTCGGGGCGAGGAGCGTGGCCTTTGTGAGGCTTTGGACTCTTCCAAGGCAGGGGCCCTCGCAGAAGGGCCCAAGGGGGCTTAGAACAAGGCTTCTGAGAAGCAGGGCGGGCCTCCGAGGGCGCGCGTTCGTCGCGCTCCCTCGCGCACCGCGGCATGGGCCGGGGAGGCACCCTTCTCCGGGAGGGGCCGCGCGAGGGCGCCGCGGCGGCGGGAGGGTCACCGCGGGGCGCTTTGCGCGCAGTCGGGAGGTTTGGTGGCATGGCCGCCCTGGCCATGCTCGTTCTCCGCTGAATACTATGTGGTTCTATAGGCTTACGCCACATCCGCCGACCCCTCTATAAACTACCGCGCGTCCAGCACTGCATTCCACGAGGCTTGTCCGATTCCTGGGAGGTTCTTTGGAGCGTTTGGGGGCTCTGTTCGGGCTCCTTGGGGGCTTCTTGGGGCGTCTTGGGGGCGTCTTGAGGCAACCTGGAAGCTACCTGGGGCCGAAGGCTGGAAATGTGGGTTCGGGTTCCCCCCCGTGGGCCTCCTTTTGGCGCCGCCCGGGGGCCCTCTGGGGCCGCCCTCGGGGATACTGTGTGACTCGCTCAGCAGTGGGCGTGAGTGTCCAAAACAGCATGTGGGCGATGCAGGAAAAGGGGGTCGTCGTCGCCGACATTCGCGCGTACGCTGCCCGCGCGAGGTCACGCGCCAGCGCCCTCGTCTCCAGTGCAGCGTGCCGTGCCGGCGGCCCGCGTAAGGCACCGCGCAAGGTCGCTCATTCTGCCATCTCTCGTGAGGGCGTTTTGGCTCCACAGGCTCGTGTGTGGGATGCGCCGGTCCCCAGGTCGGCAAGCCGCGCACCACAGGTCCCTCTTGCCGAATTGTTTGATCGCCTCGCTCATTCCGCCGGCCACGCGCTCCTCCACGCTCCCTCCCATTCCGCACTCGGGGTACCCTGGTCCACTCACCGTCTACCCCTGTGCTCCTCCTGCAGCTGCTGCTGCCCCTCTCCCTCCTCTCTCCCTCTCTCCCCGTCGTCGTCGTCGTCGTCGTCGTCGTCGTCGTCGTCGTCGTCGTCGTCGTCGTCGTCGTCGTCGTCGTCGTCGTCGTCGTCGTTACAGGGCCACTCCTGCGCGTGCAGTGGCTGGAGGCCGGCCAGGGGCGGTGGGGAGGTGCGTGCAGCGCTGCCCGCCCCCCTCCCCCCCCCAGGAGCGCGACCTCGGCCCGCGGCTCTCGCCGCTCCTCCGGGCCTCCCCGCCGGCCCCGGTCGGGGGGGGGGGGCGGGGAGTTGAGGCACGCGCAGAGAGGGGGATAGGAGGAGGGGGGAAGGCGTCTTAGCGTGGCACGCCTGCTTCTTAGAATCAGGCGATCGCAAACATGGATTCAGGGGGCGTGGGTTAGCGACGGGTCCCCTTTCCATGGGAAGCCGCGGATTCCCGCCGCCGAGCGAGGCGGCACCGGCCGCATGTTGGGGCGGGCATCTCCCCGGATCCGTGGATGTGGCGACCGCGCGCCAAATCCACGGATCGCCAATCCATGTTTGCGCGCCACCGGTGGGGGGAGGGGTGAAGGCATCTTAGAGGCACCCCTGCTTCTTAGAAGGGGCCGGCCTCTTCTAAAGGTGCCAGGTCGCCGCCCTCCAAGAAGCAGCCTCCTCCTCTTGGAATCCTTCCCCCTCCCCCTGGCCACCCTGTGCGCGCCGCCAAGGGAGGACAATGATGCAAACAAAAGGTGCCGACGCAGCGCGAGACCACGCGGACATCTCCCCAGACATGCTCGCGTCGCGTGACACACTGAGGGCGAAGTGTTCTGCCCGTGGGGGGCCCCCGCCGGGCCACGTGACCGTCCAAAAACGATGCAGGATGAAAAACAGTCCCGGGGAAAGGCTCTGCACTTCCAGCGGCGTCGTAAGAACAAGTCAAGACATCGTATATGCGGGTCCGGCTGGGGTGCCCGAACCAGAGTCCCGAATCAGCAGGGCTGGGGGTGGTCAGGGTCAGCTACTGATTCTTGCCTCAGGAAGCCAAACCAGAGTTGCCCTGGGCCAAAGTTATCCCATATTATCGTTGTGTCCAACCACTCCCGAATCATCAGGGCTGGTTTGGTCAGGGGTAACTCCTGGTTCGCGCGTCGGGTGGCACAACCAGCGTACCAGCGTAACCCTGGAGGGCGTCCAACCGAAAGGGGCAACAGCGGAGGAGAGCCGAGCGACGCGACACGACGACCATGACCAAGAAGTCGTTGATTTTTGTCGACGCCGATCCGCGAGGATGACCTTCGAATTAGCAATGACGAGGATTCTAAGCCTCCCAGATGGGGTCAGAGTAGATGGGATCAGAGGGTCGCGCCTTATCGCCGATGCGGTTTGATGTGGGGCCGATTTTCTTCACGCCGAAGTTGCCGAGGCATCGCGCGCCGATGCATTGCCGATGAGCCGGCGATGCATTGGCGCTGCGGCGCGGTCATCCGACCCCATCTGCTCCTCCGACCCCATCTACCCCGCAGGCAGCCCGCGTAAGCCACCGCGCAAGGTCGCTACGCCCTCTCGCGCAAGACCCGTGTTTGATCGTCGCTCCTCTGGGAGCCTCCTAATTCAGTCTGAGTCCTATGGCCCTCGCAGCGGGAGCGGTCGCCCGCAGTCCGCCAGCCCGAGCCCGCCGAGGCGGCGCTCGTGCCCAGACGACCCCCGCCCGGGCTGCAGCCATGCCAGCTTGTGGAGCTCCAGCCGTGGGGGCGAGGACCCCTCAGACCCAAAGTGGCCGTGGGGGGGAGGAACCAGCAATCCGACCCTCACGATCGGCGTTTGCTGAGCGGCCCTAGGCGTCTACTGTACGTGCAGCCCTGCCCTGTTCGATTCTCTCCCTGGTAGCGTTTTACCAGACGGCTTCGCTTGTCGGGGTGCTCATTCTGAGAATGATTTCTCGGCTTTCCACGAAAGCGTCCCCCCTAGATGGAGGAGACGGTGGCGGCGGCGGCGGCGACCTCGTCCGTATCGGTGTGCTGGGCTCACTGGCGCGTCGGATGACGCGTGCGTGTGTGTGTGTGTGTGTGTGTGTGTGTGTGTGTGTATGTGCCCAGTGTCTCCCTGCTGTGTGAGCCTGGGCCAGTCCGCGCGCTTCCTCGATCCTTTCTACTCTGCGCCGCTCGCGTAGCCCCGACGCCCAGCAGTGTGCGTGTGCGTGTGCGTGTGTGTGTGTGTGTGTGTGTGTGTGTGTGTGCGTGTGTGTGTGTGTGTGTGTGTGTGTGTGTGTGCGTGTGGTGTGTGTGTGTGTTGTGTGTGGTGTGTGTGTGTGTGTGCGTGTGTGTGTGCGGTGCGTGTGTGTGTGTGGTGTGTGTGTGGTGTGCTGTGTGTGTGTGTGTGTGTGTCTGTGGTGTTTGTGTGTGTGTTGTGTGTGTGTGTACGTGCGTGCGTGCGTGCGTGCGTGCGTACCTGTCTGCCTGTGTGTGCGTGTGTGCGCGTGCACGCGCGCGTGTCTGTGTGCTGTGGTGTGTGTGTGAGTGTGTGTTGTGTTGTGGTGTGTTGTGTGTGCGTGGTGTGTGTGTGTGTGTGTGTGGCGTGTGCGTGTGCGTGCGTGCGTGCGTGCGTGCGTGCGTGCGTGTGTGTCTGTGTGTGTGTGTGTGTTTTTCCCGGAAAGGGCTCGAGCCCAGGGTTCTCTTTTAGTAGTAAACCTGTCCCCCGGTGCCAACTTGAGGGAGGCCGGCGAATTTTTTCCCTGATAAATAACGAGGTCGAAGGAGGCCGGCGAATTAAAATTTGAGGATGTCTCGAGCGAAACGCTTGTTTTTGAAATCCCGATCGATAAATCACAGGGTGCGGGCCACTTTTTCGTGTGTTGAGGATGTCTCGAGCGAAACGCTTGCTCCGCAGAGTTTGCCGAGGATGTCTCGAGCGAAACGCTTGTTTTGCAGAGCCGACCGCGACGCGGAAAAGCGCCCCGCGCGAAGGAATTTCGATGATGTCTCGACTAATTCGTTTGTTTTTGTACGATTTCCTGGAATTTTGGCAGGATGTCTCGAGCGAAATGCACGACCCCACCCTAGCACGACCATACCCCAGCACGACCACACCCCAGCACGACCAGACCCCAGCACGACCCCACCCCAGCACGACCCCACCCCAGCACGACCATACCCCAGCACGACCACACCCCAGCACGACCCGACCCCAGCACGACCCTACCCCAGCATACCCCAGCACGACCACACCCCAGCACGACCCACCCAGCCGACCACCCCAGCACGACCCTCCCCCACGACCCCACCCCAGCACGACACGCCACACACCACCCCAGCACGACCGCACCCCAGCACGACCGACCACAGCACGCCCCAGCACGACCACGGTCCAGCACGACCACGCCCCAGCACGAGCACGACACACCCCAGCACGACCACACCCCAGCACGACCACACCCCAGCACGACCACACCCCAGCACGACCCCACCCCAGCACGACCCCACCCCAGACACCCTAGCAAGACCACACCCCAGCACGACCACACCCCAGCACGACCTCACCACAGCACGACCACACCCCAGCACGACCACGCCCCAGCACGACCACGCCCCAGCACGACCACGCCCCAGCACAACCACCCCCCAGCACGACCACCCCCCCAGCACGACCACACCCCAGCACGACCACCCCCCAGCACGACCACACCCCAGCACGACCACTCCCCAGCACGACCACACCGCCTGGTTGAGTGGTTGCCTGTCGTCGTGGAATGTTTCGTGGGGTGTCTCGTGGAATGTTTCGCGGGGTGTCTCCTGGAATGTTTCGTGAGGTGTCTCGCGGAATGTTTCGTGAGGTGTCTCGTGGGATGTTTCGTGAGGTGTCTCGTGGGATGTTTCGTGAAGTGTCTCGTGGGATGTTTCGTGAGGTGTTGCCCAGTTGGGTATCGTGAAAACGTGTCCATGCTCCACATGTCTATATCCCTTTCCGGGTTCGTGGGTCCATCATGTTCCCGGAAAGGGCGTGGGCCCAGGGTTCTCTTTTAGTAGGTAAACCTGTCCCCCGGTGCCAACTTGAGGGAGGCCGGCGAATTTTTTCCCTGAAAAATAACGAGGTCGAAGGAGGCCGGCGAATTAAAATTTGAGGATGTCTCGAGCGAAACGCCGCCCGCGAATTAAAATTTGAGGATGTCTCGAGCGAAACGCTTGTTTTTGAGCGCCCGCGAATTAAAATTTGAGGATGTCTCGAGCGAAACGCTTGTTTTTGAGCGCCCGCGAATTAAAATTTGAGGATGTCTCGAGCGAAACGCTTGTTTTTGAAATCCCGACTTCACCACACCCCAGCACGACCACACCCCAGCACGACCTCACCACAGCACGACCACACCCCAGCACGACCACGCCCCAGCACGACCACGCCCCAGCACGACCACGCCCCAGCACGACCTACCCCAGCCAAAGACCACACCCCAGCAAGACCACAACCCCTCAACGACCCTCACCACCACGACCACAACACCCCAGCACGACCACACCCCAGCACGACCTCACCACAGCACGACCACACCCCAGCACGACCACGCCCCAGCACGACCACGCCCCAGCACGACCACCCCCCAGCACGACCACACCCCAGCACGACCACACCCCAGCACGACCACACCCCAGCACGACCACACCCAAGCAAGACCACACCCCAGCACGACCACACCCCAGCACGACCACACCACAGCACGACCACACCCCAGCACGACCACGCCCCAGCACGACCACGCCCCAGCACGACCACCCCCCAGCACGACCACACCCCAGCACGACCACACCCCAGCACGACCACACCCCAGCACGACCACACCCGAGCAAGACCACACCCCAGCACGACCACACCCCAGCACGACCTCACCACAGCACGACCCACCCCAGCACGACCACCCCCGCACGACCACACCCCAGCACGACCCCACCCCAGCACGACCCCCCCCCAGCAGACCACCCCCAGCACGACCACGACCACCACAGCACGACCACACCCCAGCACGACCACGCCCCAGCACGACCACGCCCCAGCACGACCACGCCCCAGCACGACCACCCCCCAGCACGACCACCCCCCCAGCACGACCACCCCCCAGCACGACCACCCCCCAGCACGACCACACCCCAGCACGACCACTCCCCAGCACGACCACACCGCCTTGGTTGAGTGGTTGCCTGTCGTCGTGGAATGTTTCGTGGGGTGTCTCGTGGAATGTTTCGCGGGGTGTCTCGTGGAATGTTTCGTGAGGTGTCTCGTGGAATGTTTCGTGAGGTGTCTCGTGGGCTGTTTCGTGAGGTGTCTCGTGGGATGTTTCGTGAGGTGTTGCCCAGTTGGGTATCATGAAAACGTGTCCATGCTCCACATGTCTATATCCCTTTCCGGGTTCGTGGGTCCATCATGTTTGTGTGTGTGTGTGCGTGTGTGCGTGCGTGCGTGTGTGTGTGTGTGTGATGTGTGTGTGTGTGTGTGTGTGTGTGTGTGTGTGTGTGTGTATGCGTGTGTGTGTGTGTGTGTGTGTGTGTGTGTGTGTGTGTGTGTGTGCGTGCGTGCGTGCGTGCGTGCGTGCGTGCGTGCGTGCGTGTGTGTGTGTGTGTTTTCCGTACTCCTGGCTCCGCCGCGTTGTTGCGCGCGCGAGGCCGCGACGCCAAAAATGCGTGGTTGTTTGTGTGTGCCCTAGTTATTTGTTGCTCTCTGTTTCCCCGGTCCTGGCTCCAGGTGTCCTCCTTTTTTGTACCTCCTTCTGTCGTGCTGCTCCTCCAGGACGTCAACCTGTGTGCGGGCACCATTTCTTATGTTGAGGAGGCCACTGCAAGCGCCGCCAGCACAACGCCTGTCGTCCCTGGCGCCCCCTCTCTCTGATTGTATCTCGCCTATATATCTGGGCACCCTCACCGCAGCCGTGCTGTCTGCCCTCCGGTGTCGCTGCCTCTATCCGTGACGTACACTTGCATCTTTCATGTGCACGGCCTCCAGCACGTTCTATCCTGCATCCGTCACGCGCCCGTCGGTCGGACTCCCCATCGGCACATGTCCGGTGGTAGCCGTTCTAGCGCGTCCCGCTATTGCCCTCGCTGATTTGAATCAACTGTTGACGAAGCGAATAAGTGTGAACCCTGAGATCCTACGTTGCGACAAGAACGCAGCATTTCGCAAACTCGCGACCGCAGCCCTGGGCCCTAGACCCAACCTGTCTGCGGCAGCTCTCGAGCTGGATCGATCTGTGCTGCCCCGGGGCCCGAAATCGGGGAGAGTTGCCCGGTGTGTGAAACATCGCCACGCCAGCATCTCAGGGTGAGTGTCGGTGCCTGTGCATGTCTCATGTGTGTGCTTTCCCTCCGAGGTCGGCCGTGTGGCGGGCCGCTTCCGGGTGCGGCTGTGGCGGGCCTCCCGCAGCCAGCCCTTCGGCGTCGCCTTCGCCGATGGCGCCGCGCCCGGCCGCGCCGCCGTGGCGGAGGACGCGCCGCACCTGGGCCTGCGGGCTGGCGACGAGGCGATCGGCCGCGCCGCGCCGCCCGACACCGCCAGCGACGGCGCCGCCGCTGGCGACGCCGTCGACGACGCCGCCGTCGACGGCGTCTGCACGTCGAGTAAGCACTCGGCCTGCCGGTAGATGCTCCACGGAATGTCCGGATCCTCCAATCTCCCAGGATCTCTTGGGCACCTTGTGTCGCACCCTCAAAGGTCGACATATGATTAAATCGGGCACATCCTTTACAGCAGGAGGAATATTCAATAGTTAAAACATCTCATGGATTTCCTCTATTATTTTTGATTATCCGTAAGTGCTTCGCTCCCTGCCACTAACCCCCCCTCTCGGAGAATGCGCTATGCAAGAGCTATGTCATGAGGCCTGGGCGCTGTCGTGAAGCAGTATCGGAACTTCATGCGAGGCCGACTCGTAATGAGCAAAACCAATAGATGACCAGAGGGGTTACCACACCTGGCGATTGGTAAGATGTCGTGACCCTGCCGATCTGCGTGAGAGGTGCCACCGAATTTTAAAACATGTGGCAAGTCCTTAGTGTTTTTGAACCATGACCCTACGGATCCGCGTGAGGGGGGCCACCGAATTTCAGAAATGTTGAGAATCCCTGGGTTTTCGGACCCAGACCCCGCCGATCTGCGTGAGGGGTGCCATCGAATTTAAACATGTTGCTGTGTTTTCGGACCCTGACCCCGCCGATCTGCGTGAGGGGTGCCACCGAATTTAAAAACATGTGGCAAGTCCTTAGTGTTTTTGGACCATGACCCTACGGATCCGCGTGAGGGGTGCCACCGAATTTCAGACATGTGGCAAATCCTAAATGTTTTTGCACCCTGACCCCGCCGATCTGCGTGAGGGGTGCCACCGAATTTCAGACATGTGGCAAATCCCATGTGTTTTTGGACCATGACCCTACGGATCCGCGTGAGGGGTGCCAGCAAATTTTAGAAATGTGACAAATCCCATGTGGTTTTGGACCCTGACCCCGCCGATCTGCGTGAGTGGTGCCACCGAGTTTCAGAAATGTGGCAAATCCCATGTGTTTTTGGACCCTGACTCCGCCAATCTGCGTGAGGGGTGTAGATTTTTACCCACCCCAGCAATTCAGAGCACACGCTCAGGGCGTGCTAAACCTGCCCGTTTGGGCCTCCCCCCTCGCGCGGTCCATCAACAAGGAACAGTAAGCAGCAAGAAGCAGAGCTGTAACAGTGGAAACTGGAAGCTGCAACTGGTACAGGAAACTGCGAACCTCAGGCCTACAGCCTGGTGGCCCCACAGGGGGGCCGGCGGATCATTCGTCTTCTTCTTCTTGCCATTCCTCCTCCTATTATCTGAGTGTTCTTATTATAATTTTTATCTGAGTGTTCTTAATCTTAGTATGATTCGTATTCGTTTTGTTCCCGATAACGTAATTTTCGAGGGGTCGTGGCCTCGGAGACGCGAATATTGCGTAATTTACGAGGGATCGGGGCCTCGGGGGCGCGAATACAGCGTACTTTGCGAGGGATTACACCCTCGGGGGCACGAATCTCTTGTATTTTTACCTGTCCCACGCCCCCCAGGAATTCTGAGAACGCTCCTGGGCGACGCTAACCAGGGCCCTTTTCGGCTCCCCCCACTCGCGCGGACAGTAGCAATTTACAGTAGGAAGCAGAAAGCAATACTGTAACATTGGAAACTGGAACCTGGAACGGGTGCAGGAACAGCAACCTTAATCCTCGCAGCCTGGTGGCCCCGCAAGGGGGCCGGCGGATGTGGAGTATTTTCCAGGAAAGGGCTCGAGCCCAGGGTTCTCTTTTAGTTGGTTCTCCCTGGTTTCGACGGCTGTAGGGCCGGCGAAATTATTCTGCGATAAATTACGTGCGGGAGTAGGGCCGGCGAATTAAAATCTGAGGATGTCTCGAGCGAAACGCATGTTTTTCCCGGAAAGGGCATCGGCCCAGGGTTCTCTTTTAGTAGGTAAACCTGTCCCCCGGTGCCAACTTGAGGGAGGCCGGCGAATTTTTTCCCTGATAAATAACGAGGTCGAAGGAGGCCGGCGAATTAAAATTTGAGGATGTCTCGAGCGAAACGCTTGTTTTTGAAATCCCGATCGATAAATCACAGGGTGCGGGCCACTTTTTCGTGTGTTGAGGATGTCTCGAGCGAAACGCTTGCTCCGCAGAGTTTGCCGAGGATGTCTCGAGCGAAACGCTTGTTTTGCAGAGCCGACCGCGACGCGGAAAAGCGCCCCGCGCGAAGGAATTTCGATGATGTCTCGACTAATTCCTTTGTTTTTGTACGATTTCCTGGAATTTTGGCAGGATGTCTCGAGCGAAATGCACGACCCCACCCTAGCACGACCATACCCCAGCACGACCACACCCCAGCACGACCAGACCCCAGCACGACCCCACCCCAGCACGACCCCACCCCAGCACGACCATACCCCAGCACGACCACACCCCAGCACGACCCGACCCCAGCACGACCCTACCCCAGCAAGACCACACCCCAGCACGACCACACCCCAGCACGACCTCACCACAGCACGACCACACCCCAGCACGACCACGCCCCAGCACGACCACGCCCCAGCACGACCACGCCCCAGCACGACCACACCCCAGCACGACCACACCCCCAGCACGACCACCCCCCAGCACGACCACGCCCCAGCACGACCACGCCCCAGCACGACCACGCCCCAGCACGACCACACCCCAGCACGACCACACCCCAGCACGACCACCCCCCAGCACGACCACCCCCCAGCCGACCACACCCCAGCACGACCACACCCCAGACCCACCCAGCACGACCACCCCCCAGCACGACCTCACCACAGCACGACCACCACCCCAGCACGACACGCCCCAGCACGACCACGCCCCAGCACAACCACCCCCCAGCACGACCACCCCCCCAGCACGACCACACCCCAGCACGACCACCCCCCAGCACGACCACACCCCAGCACGACCACTCCCCAGCACGACCACACCGCCTTGGTTGAGTGGTTGCCTGTCGTCGTGGAATGTTTCGTGGGGTGTCTCGTGGAATGTTTCGCGGGGTGTCTCCTGGAATGTTTCGTGAGGTGTCTCGCGGAATGTTTCGTGAGGTGTCTCGTGGGATGTTTCGTGAGGTGTCTCGTGGGATGTTTCGTGAGGTGTTGCCCCGTTGGGTATCGTGAAAACGTGCCCATGCTCCACATGTCTATATCCCTTTCCGGGTTCGTGGGTCCATCATGTTCAGAATTTGTTGAGGATGTCTCGAGCAAAACGCTTGTTTTGTGTTATAGATTGTCCTCTCCTGGGGACCTGAATTCTGAGGATCTCTCAAGCGGATTGCTTGTTTTCACGTGCCCAGGTCTTGAGGATGTCTCGAGCGAGACGCTTGGTTTCACGCCTCCAGGTGGCCTAGACAGATGTCTAGCATGAGGATTTGTTGAGGATGTCTTGAACCAGAGGCTTGTTTTCACGTGTCCAGGTCGCCCAGGCGGACGTCTGGCATGTTGAGGATGTCTCGAGCGAGACGCCTGTTTGCACGTGTCCAGGTTGCCCAGGCGGATGTCTAGCATTAGGATGTGCTGACAACGTCTAGACCGAAACGCGTGTTTTCACGTGTTCAGGTCGCCCAGGCACAGCACAGCCCTCGGCACGGTACATCAATATCGATACCCTTAGCATTGCAGCCTGGCATGTTGCCTGGCACGTCCCGCGGAGAGTCCCGTGGCGAGTCCCCCTGGCACGTCGCGCGGTGCACGTCCACTGGCACGTTCCGTAGCGCGTCCCCTTGGCACGTCCCGCGGTGCGTGCCCATGGCCCATGGCACGTCCCCTGGCACGTCGCCTGGCGCGTCCCTTGGGACGTTCCGCGGCGCGTCCTCTTGGCATGTTCCCTCTGTCGATTAGTTCTGGGGCAGCTACCATCTGCTCAGGCAGCTCGAGCTTACGATCCAGATCAGTTCGGTGAGGACTCGGATGCCAGGGAGGACTCGATCCACAATGCTATAGAGAGCACAATCGCGGCATGGCACATCGCAGTTCAGCACGGCCCAGCACAGCACAGCCGTCGGCACGGTACATCAAGATCGATACACTCAACTATGCACCTTGGCACGTTCCTTGGCGCGTTCCGTGGCGAGTCCACCTGGCACGTCGCGCGGCGCGTCCCCTGGCACGTCCCTCGGCACGTCCATTGGCACGTTCCGTAGCGCGTCCCCTTGGCACGTCCCGCGGTGCGTCCCATGGCACGTCCCCTGGCACGTCGCCTGGCGCGTCCCTTGGGACGTTCCGCGGCGCGTCCTCCTGGCATGTCCCCTCTGTCGATTAGTTCTGGGGCAGCTACCATCTGCTCAGGCAGCTCGAGCTTACGATCCAGATCAGTTCGGTCAGGACTCGGATGCCAGGGAGGACTCGATCCACAACGCTATATATAGAGCACAATCGCGGCATGGCACATCGCAGTTCAGCACGGCGTAGCACAGCACAGCCCTCGGCACAGTACATCATCATCGATACATTCAGCATTGCATGTGCCCGTCGCCCAATCAGGTGTCTTTGAAATGTTGCAATGCCTTACATTTCGATATTCCTTTCCGGGTTCGTGGGTCGATCATGTTTGGATAGTTTGATTATTCCCGGAAAGGGCGCGGGCCCAGGGTTCTCTTTTAGTAGGTTAACCCCCCGGCCCCCCTGCGACTTGGGCCGGCGAAATTATTTTGTGAGCGGGCACGCACGGAGTAGGGCCGGCGAAATTATTCCCGGAAAGGGCACGGGCCCAGGGTTCTCTTTTAGTAGGTAAACCTGTCCCCCGGTGCCAACTTGAAGGAGGCCGGCGAATTTTTTCCCTGATAAATAACGAGGTCGAAGGAGGCCGGCGAATTAAAATTTGAGGATGTCTCGAGCGAAACGCTTGTTTTTGAAATCCCGACCGATAAATCACAGGGTGCGGGCCACTTTTTCGTGTGTTGAGGATGTCTCGAGCGAAACGCTTGCTCCGCAGAGTTTGCCGAGGATGTCTCGAGCGAAACGCTTGTTTTGCAGAGCCGACCGCGACGCGGAAAAGCGCCCCGCGCGAAGGAATTTCGATGATGTCTCGACTAATTCGTTTGTTGTTGTACGATTTCCTGGA